AGCAGCCCTGGGAACCAGGGTAGCCCTGCAGGGCAGGGAGTCTTGGCAGGGCTGGGAGTGGCGAGAATCTTGGCAGCTACAGGAGATACAGCTGTCCTTGTTGTCATGCAGGGCTGGGAGTCTTGGCAGGGCCAGGAGTGGCAGGAGGCCCAGCAGCTGCAGGAAACACAGCTGCTCTGGTGGCCAGGGGGGACCAAGAGTTTTGGCAGAGCCGGGAATGGTGGAAGCCCCGGCAGCTGCAGGAGACGCAGCAGCCCCAGTGGCTATACATGGCAGGGAACCCCAGCAGCCCTAGGAGCCTCTGCAGTCCCATGGGGCTGGAAGCACTGGCCATGGCACCTGCTCTGGGCTGGGAGCTGCAGTAAACAGTATAACCAATACAATTTCTATCATTTATATAGTTAATCATTTTAAAGATTTTTTTATATCCATAGTCTAAATAGCAACTATATTTACTGTACTTTTTGCATAATATTCAGTGTTGGATGTGGGATAAACTTTCTGAACCCTTTCATTAGTTGCATGTGATTTAAAAACAAAACATAGATATCATAATGTATCTGCAGTCATCTGCACTTCTACTATTTGTTTTGATTATATAATTAATTAATGTCCTCAGCCTGAACATTAACATGGGACACTAGTATCTTGAGAGTAGGATGAGACCTTTGATCTCGCAATAGTGGTAGATTTATTCTGCATCTTATCCTGAATCTTAAGTAATAGGGGTGTCAACAACTCAGTTTATTCAGCCATTATGACTATTATTAGGGTCGATAGGCATTTTTCCATTGTGGGAACAGGGCCATGTAGCTTTATCCAAAAATTGTAAACATAATATTGTGAGTATCAATTAACTATAAAGTAAGTATTAATTACGTGCTTTTACAAATATTTCTCCATTTTTGTAAACATTTTTTCTTGTAGATTTCACAGCAATTAAACGATGAAGATGACTCTCCAGAAAGAAGCCTACTGTCAAATGCAATTGTACAAGAGGCATTCATAGCTCCAAAGGAATATATACCACCAAATGTATTTCCAGAGAAAATATATTTAAAAGATTGTCAGAGTGTGGCTATGACCACTACAGAGATAAATACCGGGGTAAAAAATAATTCTCTTGAGAAGTCTGCAGCTGACTTTATTTTGTCAACATCAGAGAAGATTTCCAGGGAAACATTAACTTTACAAAATATAATGACAGATGAATTTGAAGTTAGAGATTTGCTGAAGCCACTTAGTGATTCAGAGAGTCCAGACTTGACAAACCCCTTGCACAACACATTAAAGTGTCAATGTGATGCTCTATCTGTAGATATATCAGTAAGTGAGAACAGCAGGGACCTGCCACTAGAGCTTCTGACAGCGCTGAACTCCTTTTCAGAATCTGTAGTGGGGGAGGAAGGAGAGGTCAATAAACAAGAACATTTGAGATCAGAACTCAATATTTTCCAGACAGATAATTGCAGTCAAATAACTGATAATAATTTTGAATCTCAATTTCCTATGATGCAACTGGAAGACATAAAGTCATTAACAGAGTCTGCATTTCAGGATACTTTATATGAACAAGTATGTATATATTTTAATACCCATTTGAAATGTTTTGTATATCTACTATATATTTTAGAGAGTTTGTGCATCTGTCTGTGTGTCCGTCCATCTATTTGTGAGTTCATTTCTTCAAGAACTCCTTCTAAATGGTAATAGCTAGGACCACCACATTTGGTATATAACTTCCTCTTATCATAACCTAAAGCATTGTCAGGGTTTGGCTGTGCCAGGACAATGGGATGTGCAGGAATGTGGTTGTTTCACATCAAATGGAAAGAGGGAGTATGAACAATTATACTCACAACTGACCACAGGTAAGCAGCAAACACAGGAGACATTTGTACTCTAGAATGACCACAGGGAGCAGCAAGCACTCCAGCCCCAGCAAGCAGCCGCACACCGTGCTACACAGCCCCTGCCAGCCTGGGCTGCACCTGGGGAACAGCTGTGCACCATAACGCACGGCCCCACTGGTCCAGGCTGGGAGCAGCCAACGGGCAGGCTGTGCAGCCCCAAGGAGAAGCTGGAGAGCGGCCCCTGCCACCCTGAGCCAGCCTCAAACCCAGGCAATGCTGGGTAAGTCCTCTAGTCTTACAATATTTTATAGAAGAGTTATTTTTTTCTAAGCTGTTATTTAATTTTGCTGTAGAATTACTGTGTCTGGAATTTATATTTTTATTATGTTGTTTTTTATTTAAAATCTACTACCGTATTTTCCGGCGTATAGGGCGACTGGGCGTATAAGACGACCCCCTATCTTTTTAATTAAAAGATAGGGTTTCATCTTATACCCCAGCGCCCCTCCGCCTCCTTTGCTCCCGGTGTCCTGGTCTGCTGGAGATGGTCCCCAGCAGACCAGAGGCACCGGGAGCAAAGC